TCAGGTCGGTGCTAGGCCACAGCCTGCCAGTGCCCCATTGTGCAGGGCAGCCCCTGGGTCTCACGTAACCCCACCAATGCAGACACCCTCCAGGGACCAAGCACCCAGGGACCCAGAGAGGGACACCAGCTGGTGGGAGGGGGTGTCCGCTCCTTTCCAGGATTGTTCCCGGGCAAGGGCTGCCTTTTAAAAGTTCAAAGGCCTCTCTCCATTGAACCAGAGGCCTCAGGACTTGGCTGGGGTCATCTGGGCACTCCAATTTTGGAGTGATCAGGGATCATCCAAAAGCTGGACCTTCCCAATAATGGATTGACCGGGCTCAGGCATCTTCTGGAAGTCTCCTCCTTCTAGAAGCCTCCTGAGTCGGCCCCTGTCTGAACATCTGTGATGCAGGGAAGCACCGGAAGGCAGAAGGGTCAGTGGGCACCTGGGTTGAGATGGAAATGGTGTGTGTGTGTGTGTGTGTGTGTGTGTATGTGTGTGTGCGCGCGCGTCAGTGGTTGTTAGGCCCATGGGAGAAAACACTGCCTGGGCGGTTTGCCACAATAAAAATAAAACAAAGTAGAGCAAAGGCAAGTGGAAGGACCCAGCTTTCCCTGGGCAATGCCAATGCATCCTTCAGGTTTCGGTTAGACCTGAGGGCTCACTTTCTCCTGGTGCCTTTCAGACTCCTCCTCCCACTGTGCGCAGCACGTGGTCTCCTCTCTGCTGGACCCCAAAGCCAAACACACTGTCATCGAATCCGTCCCAACTCAGTGACCCTATTGGACAAGGTAGCACTGTCCCATAGGGATCCAGAGCTGGGACTCTTTATGGGAGTAGAGAACCACATCTTTCTCCCTTGGAGCAGCTGGTGGTTTCGAACTGCTGACCTTGCTGTTAGCAGCCCCACAGACCAGCAGGGCTCCCCTCTGGACTGGCCCTGCCTAGTCCCAGTCATACTTCCAGCACCTAGCACAGGGCCTGACCAAGTGGAAGATGACCGTCAAATGTGCATTGGGTCAGCTGACGTGAGAAACCTTAAAGAAAATCTTGGGAAGTGACTCCGTCTCAGAGGTTGGGTTGGTCACCTTGGTACCAGATGCGAGAAAGTTGCCCTCCAAGGCTTACAGTCTAGAGAAATGTCAAGTCCCCATCAAAGCCATCCAGAAGTGCAGCTTGAGTGTCCTCGAGGCTGCTGCAAGGTTGTCACGACCATCACCTCTCTGATGACCCACAGATGCCACGTTGAGCAGGGGCTTCGTGACTGAACAACAGTCGTCCAAGATCTCAGGGACGGGGAAGGATACAGCACGGGCAAGGCGAATGCCCTCCAGAGAACCGTAGGTGGTCTGGCAGAGGCTCCGTGCACACAGTGCATGGGAAATAAGGCACACAGAGGGATGGGGGCAGGCTTGGCAGGGGCCCTCCAGAAGGAGCTTTGGCTTCGTTGGCGAAGACGGTGGAGAACTGCTGTCTGAGCGCCCAGAGAGTGGCGGAGCAAAATGGCGCCTCTAGAAAGCTGTGTGAAGGCTGTAGAGGAGCGGAAGCCCCAGAGAAAACGACGCTGCAGCCCTGCCACTGGAAAGAGAGGATGAGCAGCAGGACCCTGGAGGGGAAGAGGGGCCAGCAGGATGTGCACAGCTCAGGTTTTAGGACTTGGACACAAGCTGCCCTGAAGCCCGCACACTCTCTCTCTGTCTCTCTCTCTGTCTCTGTCTCTCACTCTCTGTCTTTCTCTCTCTGGCAATGCGTGCTCCAGCTTTCGCTGGCTGGCATGATTGACAGGGCTCTGCTCACAGAGTGCCTGGATTGTCCCTGAACCCTCTCCCAGCTACCCTCCCTGTAACTGCCTCCCTGCCCGCTCCGCCTCTGATGACCCAACCACTCTCTAATGTGCAAAAACCCTCCCGGGAGCATTGTTGAGTAACACCGGGCTGAGAACATCACGCATCTGGAGAGTGAGGCAGGAGGAGAGGCAGGCAGGGAAGAGGCTGTTTTCAGAGCTTGGCCACATCTTCCTACAACCTACAACCGCCCTAGATCCCCAGAGCCCGAAAGGCCAGGATGGGGGGGCAAGTGGTACTTTGTGGTTGCAATGAGCCTGCTCTGACTGGCGGCAAACCCATAGACAACAGAACAAAAGGTCACCCTGTCCGATGCTCAGTCCTGTCCGCCATCGACTGCAACCCCAGGTAGTGTTGTGTGGCGACCTCCAGGGTCTCCATCGGCTGGTTTCCAGAAGTCTTCTTCTCTAGCTGTCAGAGGAAGCCAGCCTCGATCATCTGAAGGCCAGTTGGCTCAATTGTATGGTGATAATATATAAAAATCATAGTGAAGTCAGAGGATAGGAAAGATAGGAGAGAGAATAAAATAAAGGAGTCAGACACATTTTATGGTAGCATGCTCACCTCAGCCCCTCTTGGTGGTCCATGTGGAAGTGGGAGAGAAGAGAAAGAGTCTTTACTATCTTGGGATATTTATAGATAGCCATAAGACATGCATATTCAGTAGTTACATACGTCACAAGGTGGGTGGAATCTACAATAGGGTCCCTGAGCTCACAGATGAGGAAACCTAGTACCTGCATTAGGGGAAGGTATGAAGGGGGCTGGGTGACACAGGGAGAAGAGATAGCAACAGGATGTCTGTAGGGAGATAAAATCAACTATGTGCTCACTTGAAGGCAGCATAGCTGTTAGGGGAGAATCTGTGGAAATGATATTTAAAGCAGGATAATGTACTTGAACTTTACCTCTAACTTACTACCAAAGTGACAGCTTTCCTACCGTGGAATACCAACTTTCCAGATTCCCTCTGCTATCAGTTAGGGAGCAGAGTCCCTGTCATGTGTCCCTCAGTGTGTGTGTCCCACATCTAGTCTGTCTTCGTCTGGAAGCTCCACGGAAGCCTCCTGTCCAGGGTTGATCCTGCTGGCACTTCACATGCCAGGGGCACGGCCTTCAGCGTCACACAATAAGCCGCAGCACGACAAAGGGGTAGGGCTGCCAGGCATGATGACAGCTCAGCCTCTCCCTTCAGCAAGGTCTTTGTCCCATGACAATGGTTATGAGTCTCAGGAGCAAGAGCCGCCCAGCCTCTAGGAGGAGCTGCTCGAGCCAGCCTACCCAGAGAAGCAGTTGCTGCTTCCGGGATTCACCCCTAGCCTCCCTCCCTGGCTCACCTGGCTTGACCAAACCGTCGGTCCATGAGAACTGCAGGGGGTCACCACCCCCCACCCCCACCACCCCGCACCCACCCACAGCTCCCTCATCTACAGCATGGGGATAGAGGGGGGCAGCAATGCCACTGCATAGCGTGGTATTGGAGACGGAGGAGAAAAGAGGGCGAGTGTAGACCTTGGATACGTGTTCCAATCCTTTCTCCCTTCTAACACCCAGTGCACGTA